GACGACATCGATTACATTATGAGTATCGGGAATCGATAACGAGGTGCATCGTCGGCGTAGATCGCGATACGTCGTCGCCGCGATAGTGATTTGAGTCCTTAACGGTGACGTCAAAGTTCTAGTATACGCGTAGTTTCACCGCGTAATTGATAGACATATAACAACGCAAATTGAACGCACGGAAGACGCGCTAATGTAATGTGAATATACATATCCGTTGCATCGGGACATCTTGTAACGCACAGAATGTCATTACGCGTTCCAGTTATTCTTTCTTTAAACCCTTCCGTTTTATATTCTTTGATATCTCTTTCATCGTTTCTTGTTTTCATCTGGTAATCTTTTCACTTAAAAATTGGCATGGAATTTATCTATTTAAAATTATAAATAAATAAAAATAAATAAATAAATATAAATAAATTTATCTATTAAAATTATTTATCGAGATGCAAATTTAAAATAATTCTGCTTTTTTATTTAATTTATAGAAACTTATTTTTCCCTCCTCAATAGAAAGAGCTGGATGAGGCTTAGTCAATCAAACCATTAACTGTAGAGGCATAAAGGATATCGAAACGTTCGCTTACGTTCGCTTCGTCCTTGACGTAAGCGGACATAACGCCGCGTAGCACCGAGAAGAATGCGGTACTCTCGAACAAAAACCCATTTTCCACAGGTAAAAAAAAAAGAAAATCTGCAACTTTGTATTAAAGAATGCAGATCTGAAACCAGCTCGAGTCGACAATTGTTTAAAATATTTCACGGTATCTACAGCGTTATTTCGGGACAATTTAGGATTATAAATATTATAACACGATAAAATTCGCATGCTTTTTTTGTGCTGTCGAGCATCGATAAAGTGCTAGAAAATTACAAATCGACGAGCCCCCAAGTCTCTCGACCACTCCCGGATTAGAAATGTTCGACCGTGTTTATGTTTTCGTAATGCGCGTCGACGATCCGCTATCCGGTATTTACGCGAGGTGAGAATAAACTCAGTTGGCAGCTCCACGCCTTGTGTACCGAGTGGCACAGGGTTAACTTGGGCTGCAAACACGATAATAATCGAATACCTTGACTGCTTTCCCCGCGGATCGACACGCGCGTCGCGTGTTCCGCGATAAGATCGAAAATCATGCGCTCTAACAGGTCTCGTTATCTCCGAGATTCTCTCTCTCTCTCTCCTTTTAAATAATAAACATCTACCGCTAGTTACATGTTCGATTCTCGAAACTCGTTGACAATGAGAGTGAAATTTATAACCCCTCCAGCAGAAATTTTTGGAAAAAAAATATAACTTTCGACGGAAGATCTTATAGATCCGTTCGAAGAAACGAACAAAGGAATAACGAAAGTTTTACGAATCGTATCGTTAAACCCTAAATGACTCTAGAATCATCTTTCTTATGGCGCCGCTCTTGCTACATTGTATATGGTGTGCTGCGAAAATGCGACTTTAACGGGGCTATAAATTATCTTCATTATTCTTGGCAGCACTCGACAGAGACCAAGGCAACGACTATTCTCGCAATCAATACCAGAGCGCGACACACATATTTCAGAAAGATATTTCGCTCGATGACTTTTCCAGGATTTACAAAGCGCGTTCGACGATGTATAAACGTGAAAATATCTCGCGCGCCGAGAAGGCAGGGGAGACATTCTCGCGCGTCTCCCATTCAGGAGACTTCCTCAGGTTCGCGTTTCGTACCCCGATCGATCTTATTATCGGCGGCTTATCGGGGAACAAACGCGGGGGAGGAACATATGGATTTACGAAAGATCGCGCGGCTCGCAGACCGTGGGCATAACGCGATAACTCGAAAATCGATAGGGCTGTGCAATCCACTTAATGGCATCCTCCCATTCCTCTTTCCCCTAAGCAGCCCCACTGGACGTGATAAATCGCGAAGGCTGCCCGACTATTTAGATACGCCGCGTATTGCGTGCGTGCGAAGGTAAAGAATGCCCGACTTCTCTAGTGATATTACGATACCTATATCCTTTTTATATTAATCGAAACGGCGAAAAGAAAAATGGAACTTGCGCGCGAAATCTATCCTAAACTGTCTTGCAACTTGTTTGCATTAAAATTTGTTAAATCGATAATTTGTATTCTTCATTATTGTTGCTTGTGTGTTATTTAATTTTTATATTAAAAATGTTTATTCCCGAGCGAGTTTGTAATCTTAATACTTTTTATAAATCTCGTTATTAAGTACATTAATTTCCAAGATACTTCGATGGAAATGGGAATGATATAAAGCTAGAGAATAAGAGTTTATATATATATCTTTTCATCTGTAAAGGAGCTTAAACTGGTGATAATACATTAGTGGCGAATAAAAACTCTATTTCTTTCAAAAATACTTCCCCTGCATTTTTTAAATCGTCTAGAAATTATCTCGACATAGAATAAAAAAAAAAAAAAGAGAGAAATATCTCGAACATCAGACATGCGAATAACTAACCCATATTCGCGCACATCAAATATTTGCGAAATCTACGAAAAAGAACGAACGTCACGTCGCGTCGGGTTCGCAGAGCGTTTTCGGATTTATCATAAACCGACACACTTCAACAGCGTGCGAGAGAACGGCTTTCCCATGTATATATCACACGACACGACAAAATAAATATCTGCGCGGGTTGGAGTTTCTCGCGACTGTCAAAGAACTGACCGACCAGCTGCGCCCTTATTCGAGTTACGCTCGTTGCCACGCAAAAACCGCGCGATTCGCCGCCGTGGCGTTTAAATATCGTTGCGATATCTTGTCGAGAGTTTCGCGCTCGGCAGGTCAAAGGTGACGCAAAGCGAGGCTGGCCGAGGTTTTCCCTCCCTTTCCCATCAATCTCTCTCTCTCTCTCTTTCTCCTGGGCAAGTTAAATTCCGCCGAATCACTACTCGTCGCCGTCGAGCTAACTTCGTCTCGTCTGTATCGCGAAATTAAAACAAGTTAGTTTGCAGCAATCGATTTTCTCTTTATAGGAAAGACGGGGGGGGGGGGGGGGGGGGGGGGGGGGGGGGGGCGCGAAGGGCGCGGGTTAGGTAACGTTTCAACAACATTGAGCATCTTGTGCTCCGACAACGCAAAGTTTTTAACGATCGTCCGCGCTCGTTTTCGAGCTCGCGTAAAATTCGAAAGAACATTAAGAGCTATTATCTATTGTCGCCAGAGTCCGGTATTTACTCAAATCTCTTAGTATTCTAACGGATCCTTTTTCTTTTTTTTTTTTTACATCCATTTAAATAACCGTTTCTAATCCCCCAATAAAAGCGTAATTTCGATGAGAGAAGTGTTCGCGCATATACAGAGTGTCATAAAAGTTTTGTTCGAAAGTCCCGTGTCATAAAATTCCACTCGAAGCGCTCTCAAATTATCTTCAAAGTAACTTATGTAACCTCCCTCGAACACTTCATAAATCATAATTTTAACTGCCGTTGAAACATTTTTACACGCGTTTCAATCGGCGGTGAAACTTTGGATGGGGTGCACGATCTTTCGTTACGTTACGTCCTTTCGCGCGACCTATCGATATTCGCAGCGATACATTTGCAGTTTTGTCGGGCGCGACAACATCGTTCTGTCTCCCTCCCGTCGAAAACTTTGGCAGACGTTATTTCCGGGATTACGTTGTTCATCGACAGACACGCGCGGCCGTTCTTGTCGGATCGCGGATCGCAATCCAAAACCACCGCCGCCGAGAGAGCGATACATATCGATTGTGCATACACGTCCGGGACTGATTCGCGTTATATATATATATACATATATCTTGTCGGATCGCGGATCGCAATCCAAAACCACCGCCGCCGAGAGAGCGATACATATCGATTGTGCATACACGTCCGGGACTGTCGGAGTGTGATTCGCTTTATATATATATATATATATATATATATATATATATATATATATATATACACATAGCGACGAGATCGCGATGCAGACGTTTGCAGTTGGAACAACTAAAATTTCCTGCGAATAATGCGAATTAAGCTTCTTCTCGCCGTGTTAACTCGCGACATCGTCAAGTTACGCTTATTACCAAAGAAATAATGAGTCACAGGACGAAACGTCTTGTAACACATCAGCGCGTTTTACATTTCGACCAAGTGATTTCGAAAAAAAAACCTCGGTCAAATCGCGCGATCAAAGAAACAAATTAGATCGTCGTTTTAAACGAGATAATAAGTCACGCTCGCCAATGGATCCGCGTCGACGCGGACGTTTGCAAGAGTCCACTGGAGCATCGAAATTATTCAGGTTCGATTCCCGCGAGGGATTCTCGAGACCAAAAAGCGAACTCCGAGGGGATCTCGGCCCCCCCCCCCTCCGCCGTGATATCACCGCGATATCTCGTCGACAGAAAGAAAACCGCGCGCGCGGGCGTCCTCGAAGGAGGCCGCGGCGCGGAATCTCCCTCTTCCGCTCGCCCCTTCCCCTCTCCCTCGACCGATCGCGCGCGGCTCGCGCTGTCACTCGCGATCAGGTGGTTCAGGCTCGGCTGGCGCGATTCGACCAACGTCAGCGCGGCTCGCGATTAGATACGGCGAGACGCGCGAGTCCTCGACGTCACTTATGGGGGGAAAATCGATTCTAATAATATTCTAAACGATTAACGATATTATGTGTTTTTCATTGGTATCGAATCGCGCGATATATTGGACGATTGGAATTCCTGTTTTATAATTGGCTTTGTAATGGGATAAAGGAAGAAAGCTGGGAAATTATTATCCCTCTTCGTTCGCGGGTATGTAAATACCGTGATGTGTAATACGCGAAAAGTCCGCAATATCTCGCGGTTGATCATTAGCCAGGTCCCCCTCTGACGCGAGGGGGAGTAACGGAGAGTTAAAGCGGCGCAGAAGGGAGGGAAGGGGGTGGGAGGGACGCTTGGTGGCGTATGTGCGGCCGGAGGTTGCTCAACTTGTCATCGCGCTCTCTCTCTCCCTCCCTCTCGCCCCTGTTTTATGACATCATTGAAAATCACTTTACCTCGAGACACGAAAACCAAATCGGCCGCTCTCTCCCCGTCCTCGTTCGTTGTTCGTCGACTCGCAAGTACGTAGTAGTCGCAGCGCGCGGTGAGAGTGAACGAACGTTGTCAGCGTCTCGGAGATAGAGAGAGAGAGTTATCGAGCTCTCCTAGAGGGAGAGACGAGGGGGATGGTGGAAGAAACGGTGGAAAGACGGTCCTCGCGCACGTAGGCCCCCGCGCTTCCGTCACGGCCGCCAAGACAGTGGCACGTTCGACGTTCTTTGTTCTTCTTTCCCCGTGTACTCTCGTTCGCGGGATTCCTCTCCGATCCCGCCGTATGGACCACGCTCCTCCTCTTCCTCTTCGTCGCGTCTACTCTTCCGCTATCTCTTCTCGCGGCCGCGGAACAACGGAAAATTAATTCCTATCGACACGAGTTCACAAAAAAATTCGCAATGTCCACCTCACTCGAGCAATGTATTTATATATACATATATATATATATATATATATATATGTATATATAAATACATTGCTCGAGTGAGGTGGACATTGCGAATTTTTTTGTGAACTCGTGTCGATAGGAATTAATTTTCCGTTGTTCCGCGGCCGCGAGAAGAGATAGCGGAAGAGTAGACGCGACGAAGAGGAAGAGGAGGAGCGTGGTCCATACGGCGGGATCGGAGAGGAATCCCGCGAACGAGAGTACACGGGGAAAGAAGAACAAAGAACGTCGAACGTGCCACTGTCTTGGCGGCCGTGACGGAAGCGCGGGGGCCTACGTGCGCGAGGACCGTCTTTCCACCGTTTCTTCCACCATCCCCCTCGTCTCTCCCTCTAGGAGAGCTCGATAACTCTCTCTCTCTATCTCCGAGACGCTGACAACGTTCGTTCACTCTCACCGCGCGCTGCGACTACTACGTACTTGCGAGTCGACGAACAACGAACGAGGACGGGGAGAGAGCGGCCGATTTGGTTTTCGTGTCTCGAGGTAAAGTGATTTTCAATGATGTCATAAAACAGGGGCGAGAGGGAGGGAGAGAGAGAGCGCGATGACAAGTTGAGCAACCTCCGGCCGCACATACGCCACCAAGCGTCCCTCCCACCCCCTTCCCTCCCTTCTGCGCCGCTTTAACTCATATATATATATATGTCACTAGATATATATAATATATACAATGCACGCACCGTGTACCGACAACGTCAGATGCGCTACCGTTAACCAGCCGCGCTCCCACACGTGAACCGCGCGTACGTACAAAACACTCGCGCGCGTTTACTCGAATTCACACATATATATATAGTAATATATATATATATATATATATGTATGTGACTGTATGTCGGAAAAACTCGACGTACTCGCGCAGAGAGACTATCTCTCTCGTCTTCGATATATAGATGCACACACACGCCGAAACGCGTCTCGTCGCTCCGCTCTCGTCTCCACCTTGACGTCCGCGCGCAAACGTGGCCCGAGGACGACTGATGACGACCGGAGCGTACCGTACCGAGCGTATGCGAGGAGCCCGACACCGGCCGAGCGTGTGGGCCACGAAAGCGGAGATACCCGACCGAGCGTCGTACCGCTACGACACGAGTTCCGAGTCGTTTTCCCCACCTCCCTGACCCCTCGGCCACCGACTCCTCCACCCGCCCGTCCGAACCCCCCCATCGACCCCCTCCGTCCTCTCTCCACCGGGTCTCTTTTACTACTATCGTCGGTGCGCACGTATATACGGACACACGTCTCACCACCACCTCCTCCCTCCTCCCTTCTCCTCCTCCTCCTCCTCCACCTCATCCCAACGGCGCTTAAAGCCGCGTCCTTCGGTACACGAGAGAGATACAACGCGATTTTTCCCCGATGGCGAACATAGTCTGCCATCCGAGAGGGAAAATAATTCTTATTTCGCACGCGCGGTTTATAGATTTAATTTGTATTATAAGAGCCTCGCGCGATCTCTCTTCTTCGCGCGTTAAAAGATGTAAATGTTGGGAATTGATTTTGTTCCATATCCCGTGTACGACCATCGGCGTGCGATCGACCGAAAGAGTATCTCTATTTTAAAACGGATGAGCAAGACGTCAGACGCGCGATATTGACGCCTTATTGTGACATTAGCCAGACTTCCGAATCCGTGGGTTTCAACAGATATGTCTTAAAATCGACATTTTTTCGCGATATTTTATAGGCGTGGGAGAAATTGATCCTCATAGAGGCTATTGCTTTCCATTTATTTCGTCAAGAAAACGCAATAACATTCGAATATAAATATAAATCATATTAATATAAATATAAATCTATAGTTATGTATATTCCACTCTACAAGAATTACATCATCTCATTTTATCGTTGGATCTATTACTGTTGGAAATGGAAATCCCAACATCAAGCAGTTATGCTGGAATTAAAATTACACAGAATGTTTGTTTATATAAAATAAATAAATAAATAATATATATAATAAAAAAATAAAAAGAAATGTAATAAAAGTAAATACTTATGTAAATAAACATTCTGCGTAATTTTCATTTACCCAGCATAACTCCTTTTTGGTATTGGGATCTCAATTTCCGTCAGACTTTTGGCTGGTCAATCTCTTCGGAATAGAATTTTTTCTACATACAGATGTCGATACACTCGACACAAGGAAAAAATACGTAGAGTGAAAATCGTGATTATCGATATTTTCCTATATAAACAGAATTTATTGTACAAAGTAAAACTCAATGCACGCTTCGAGTGAACTCAATACCCTCCGAGATTCGTAAAATTGAGAGTCTCTCGACAGAGTATTCACTCCCAACCAGTTTTATCGTCGCGATAATTGCAAGTCTCAAGTATGTACCCAGAGATATCGTATACGACGCATTGCTTAGCATGGGACGATGGTTTGCTTATCATCCGTGATCGAGAAGGATAGTGTGTAAAATTCGAAGCGCGCGCTCGAAGACTCTTTTATTGACTTTCAGAGAGAGTTCCGGAGATTAATAGAGAGAAGAGCGAGAGAGAGAGAGAGAGAGAGAGGGAGAACGTATCTAGCGCGGTCGACGCTCCAGCGATTCCGTGTTCCAGTATTCGATTGTTGCTCCGAAACGGAGCGTGCATTCAAAGTGCATCCCGCGTGTTTCGGAGGGTCAAAGAGGTTCCGCGCGTATTTTCATGAAAATTACCTTTGCCGATGCCTCAGTAGCTACCTTACATATTGCACGGGCTTATCTTTGACACGGCACGTTCGCGAGCACTGCCTCCGCCAGCTGACTCTCGAAATTACTCATTGATAAGCGTTAACCATTTTCTCCCAACAGCTCGTTTCTTTGCGACGTTATATAAACTCGTACAATTTTTTCATATCAAAAGAAATTGGAGAATAAATACGAATATAAATCCTTATAATAAATGAGAAAGTAATGACGAATATAACATTTGACTTATCTCCTATATCGTCTCATTAAATACATGATAATATTAATAATTTCACTTAACGTTTAGGATAACGTATCTTTAACATACACGAAGCAGGCATTTATTTTTTCAACAGTTTTTCCCGTTTTTTTTAAAAAAAAAAAAAAACCTGTTCCGTCGCGCGTATCGTCAAAATCTACGTTTCAACTTTCCTTTATTTAATTGCGAGCAAAATTTATTTTTTCCGATTTTATTCAAATAAATTTGATTCTGCAATATTAATAAGAATAATAGTGCGAAAATAATATAACAAGCAATCTATGACACGATTATTTATTCCAAAAATTAACAAATATACACAAAGACCGCATTATTTAACTATTATATTAATAAATATGTTTCGTATTAATAAGATTTTTTTTTCTAGAAATATAATAAATAATACTCTTGTAAAATGACGATGTGTAAATCTAAAATGACCAGCTGGAAATGACGTCGGACAAAAGACTATCGAGGGATGATGCGGGCGGACAGACGGTGTGAAAGAGTCGGGTTAAAAGAGTGGGGTGGAGGGGGGGGGGGGGGGGCGGTTTGCCGTTCCGTTTAATGGGCAAGACGGCGAAATACGTTACGCGATACGCATTGCGTTTGCGTAAAGGATACCGCGTCGGCGATGACACCCACGTGGCGGCGGATCGTATACGTGAAAAACGTGGGCGTAAAAAATCGCGCGGGGGTGCACTTTGTTAACCAACACCGTTGAACTTTTCGTTGGCGCGCCAGGAAATGTCGTCGTGTCGTCGTTTCGTTGTCGTCGTTGTCGCATTATCGTCGTGCCGCGCTGCTCTTTTGATTAAAGCTGAAAATGCGCTCGCGCAACGCAACGGAATACGTTGTAAATTACACGCCGGGCCGTCACGTACGTGTTCGCGAGCGTGCTTAATGTCGTCATGATCATGGAGCATTAGGTAGAGAAGCTGGCCTGTTGAGAGATTTCAGATAATAAAAGCTGCGAATATCAAACGTCGAAAATTGTCGCGCGAGCGCGCGAGAAAATTATTTCTTTCCTAAATGCCATTATAAATAATTATATATTTATAAAAATAATAATATAATTACTATAACGTGTGTAGGAAAATGTTTTCTATATATATTTTTTTGCCTTTGTAACCGCGAGGTCACTCTCAGCAGGTGCAACGATTGCGCTTAGCTTTCCACTGGCCTTGTTTCGTGTTGTTGTAATTTGCGTTCTCGTTAATGTGTAACCGTGTGTATGTGCATTCGCATCTTGCTATATTGTAAAATATTCTGTTTGATTATAGACGATATTTGTGGCGCGGAGATATCACGATTTCTCGCGATTATCCGGTCCTCCTCCGAATAGTTATTGCACCGAGTTATCGATCACCGTGTGGATTACAATTACCAGCATCCCGAATTAATTTCGGTACGCTTATTATTAAATAGGTAGCAGCTCGGCAAGGTTTATTTGAAGTTCGATCGCGCTGTGTAATATAAAGCGATTCGTTTTATATTGGATTATTTATTTCGCGCGCACTGTCTTCTACAATTATTGCTGTACTTTTTAATTAAGGTATTCCGATATCAATCTGAAATCGGTTTTCTGTTTCGAAGAAATTTAACAGGTTGTTACAATTCTTTAAAAAATATTCAAAATTAAGCTGGACACGAAGAGACCAATTTTTGAATTAAAGGTCACTTAAAATTAAACAGAGAATTATATTTGTGGTCCTCATGATTTTTGGAAATGATTAAATAAATGATTCGAAAATTAGAATTAATGAAATGTTTTTAGCTTCTAATATATGATATACGATTTAACGGCGATAATATTCAGGGACAATCTACATGCCATAGAAAGATTACAAGATTGCAACTTGTCGCGCCACTTGAACGTATCCATCTGCATCTAGAGAGCTAATATCGCGAATAGTAAAAGAGAAAGAGAGAAAGCGAAATGCCGTTTAACGATCTAATTTCATTTGTCGAATTGCAAATCGTAGTCGCCATCAAATGTATACGAGATAGCATTCTCGAACGGAGGGATTAAAACACCGCTACACACAGTCGATGGTATGAGGGATAACCGTGTGCGGATCACCTGGGTCACCGGATATAGCAGCGCGAAATAAAAGAAAGTCGGCCGATAACCCCTGCTCGATGTAAATTACACGAGAAGCGGCCAGACTCTCCTCTCGTTGTAATCCTGCCGTAATGGCAGTCCAAAAGAGACTTCATATAACTTACAAATTTAATGACGCGAAATTTTTTACGTTCCTACATTTATCTTGTCTCAATGGAAAATTTATTTATTTTTTATTCTCTGAAAATATTACATATATGTATATAAGTAGCAAAGTGTTCCATCGTATTTTTCGTCTAAAGTATTTTTCGATCAATAGCAGTTACGAGGTTAATCATATCTAATGAATTCATTTCGAATAACATTATCCGAATTTGTCCGCTACCCCTCGATCTAAATTTAATGAGAGATTCGGCAAGACTCGAGGGAGCAAGTATGAGAGGGTTAAAAGTACTTTGGCGACAAGAGGAGA